GTAAGAGTCCAGTATGTTCTTTGTTCATTGTATTTAGGTTCCCTTCCCTTGCCTTGTTATTAGGTTCATGTGTGTCAGTGGTGTTCCCGTGTGTTAATGTTCCCATTGTTGTTTATTGTGTCATGTTTCTGTCTTGTCATGTTTTTCTGTTTATTTTGAAAGTCCAGTTTTCATGTCATTGTTTGAGTTTACATTTCCTGTGCATCGTTATGTTCATCCTTGTCAGCTGTTTCCTCGTGTGTCTCGACTTCCCTGATCACCTCATGTGTGTATTTAAGTCCTCTGTTTTCTATGTTTGGTTGTCAGGTCATCTGTTTGCATCCCCATAGTGTTTTGTCATAGTTTACTCAGTGTTCATAGTTTGTCGTAGTATTTTCACTGAGTTTCTTAGTCCTTTAGTTTTCCGAGTGTTCACAGTTTTCTTAGCTTCATGCTTTTTCATGTGCCAACATCCAAATAAAGGATCGTCTTCTGTTCAGCCAGCAACTCCGCCTTTCAGTGTCTGCTTCTGGGTCCTGTAAACTAAACTTATCGGCGCACCCCGCCGTGACATATAAGTCATTAAAACCATCTAGAGAAGCCACATTCAGGTGATATGCATGTATATGGTTCTGCATGAGTACTCTTACTTTTGCTAAAAGCTAAAACGTTTGCCCTACTTAAATATGGAAAATCCCACCCACTCCCTCCTCCTCCTCCTCAATCAAAATATGAGATGGGTGGAAATAAGCAAGAAGCTCCACCTTTAAGCTGACAATATGAAACTAAATACAATAAGTGAAAAAACAACTCTGCACTTTACTACACATTTCAGTCAGGCCTCTGGCAGCACAGCCGCTGTGGTCTGCTGACCATCATCACCTGACACACACTTATTCTCTGAGAGGATTAATTGTTATTAGTTATTGCATAACTGTACTAATGAAATAGTGGAATATTTCTCTTCACATGTTAACAGAATCTCAGCCAGCATAAATCCGCAGGACGTCGGCTGTAATGGGACTGCAAAGGGCCTGGACTGGATTGGCTTAAACCAGGGGAAGAACAAAACTTTATCAAATGCACATCTGAAAACGCCAAGACCTTCTTTAGCGTTGCCTCAGAGTGTGGGGGGGTGAGAGCTGGGCGTATCAGTTCAGTCGCTTGCACATACGTCCTTGTTTGATTCGATATCACAGCTGCAGACACTTCTGGGCAGATAATGGGCATTCCTGACCGATGACCGATAGCCTCAGTCTATTTGACTGAAGCAGGGGCTAAAATTGCTACAGCGGTTTTAAAGCAGAAACATAAGTGTAAGCGATGTGGCACTGAAAGAACACTGTAACAATAAGGTTTTAAAGTGTTCACACTTGAGTTACATAATGCTTTGTGTTTCAGAGCACTTCCAGAGTAATTTTGTTTGTTCCCGTTTAGTTTCTGCTTAAAAATGTTTCCTTACACTTGATTTTTTTCTCCTTTCTACTTAAAATGACAGCTCTGGTGTTAGATTATTATTA